AAAGTCTTATGTTTGGTGCTTGTGAGAGATGGATAGAGTTTGGAAGTGATTGACGTGAAACATCTGACGAGTTCACATTAAAAGCTACTATTTAGAGCTGGTCATTATAAAATTGTGTCATTTGATCTATTTGACAAGGCAACTCCTGTACCAGAGTTTAGAGTGAAGCAGGTCTCGGGTGTGCTGGAGAGATGGAGGGAGCAGGCATCCCAAAGCCACGCCCAGCAAGACAAACACACAGAAGTGACCGACAAATAGTGACAAACAACACACAAGAGGAAAGGAAAACACAGGAGGACATTGGGAACATAGAGAGCATGATGAGAAGGAGACTATAAGGGTGTATGTGAACAGAAAGATCAGTGAATGAAGAGAGTAAATCCTCATTACGTGTCCCCTAATAAAGAATTACCTCTGTCAGCCTTCCTCCTTTTTATTGTTAGAGAGTGCATCAATCAAAAAATGGCCCTTGTAGCCTCAAGCAAAGAATTGCTTTTGAAATGACTTTTTCTCCAAACAGGTCCCTGGAGACCTGGCGTAGGGGAATCAGGTAGAGATGGGAATGGCACCATTTGTGAACGGAAAGCCATCTCATAGTCCCATGGGCCAAAAGCTCTTCCAAAGTTGACTGCATGCACCTTTTTTCTCTATTTAATGAGCATGCTTAGCATAAGGAAATATAGGAAATGAAGAATCGTCGCACATATAATCAGCAGATTCCAGTGATTTCTTTTTTTTTTTCAAATCAAGTCAGTGTTAACGTGATTGGGTTTCTCCAGCTTGGTATAGAAACATAATGCATCAGTTTTGAGTTATTGAGGTAAGAGCTTCAGTCTTTCCCATTTTCTGACTCTCTGCTTCTCACCTGAGTCAAAGCCTTTCCTTGGTTGCAGAATCACACGCTGTCTTTCAAACGCAGCTCTGGCAGCAGCGGCTGACATTTCGAGGGCTGCTGCCCGACTTGGATGGCATCTGAGAATTTCTACCTTTTTGTTGTGTTAGAATTTTAGACGCAAACAAAACAACTGCGGTGGGGGGAGACAAGACAAGTCAAGTACATGGAGTGGTGTTCCTCACTTTCCTAATTGCCTGTAGTCTCCGGGTGGTGTTATCTGGAGGGAAACAGAGATGAGATGCAGTCAGGGCTGCTGTTTGTTCTTACCACTGTGTGGGATGTGAATGATAGCTGGAGCCCTGAATGATATTATTAGAGAACTACTGGTTTAGCTAACACACTCTAGTCTATCAGTGTGGAGAGCATGAGAGATGTAGCGAGATGGCAAGATACTGGAGCAAGTCTGTGGGAGGACAGTTGTTATCCCCTTTGTGTTTGAATGGTTATTGTTGTGTCTTATCAAAGAACACCAGTGTTGACAGGGAGCAGCTACATACAGAAACCTTGTTGACAGCACCATACATTTGATTTGTTCATGCAGGGAAAAGGGCGATGCAGGAGCACCCCGCACATAAATCCATTGAGATGAGAAAATATAGAATACAGTCCAGATGCAAAGAAATTAAGGTGCTTAAACAATCATGTTGGTAAAGCATATAGGGAAATTAAGTATTAATATACTGACGATAACATCATAGTGTAATATCAAGATTGCATTGTATCGACTACAACTGATTATTTTAATTAATTATATGAAATAATTTGTAATTACATTTGTTTAATGTATGAAGAGTAAGATATTGAGACATTGAAACGAAATGAAATGAGAAGTGAAAATTAATTTGCATTGATTATAATAGATAATTAAAACATGAATTAAAATTATTTGTAAGTTTGTATGTTGTGTAACTAGGCACAGCAATGCTTTGAGGTAAATGCTATGTATGAAAAGACACAAAATGAACACTGTGAGCAGACTACTTGATCACTAACCAAATTATTTAAACAGCATTTGTATAGGAATGATTCTGTCTCAAGCTTTTTGATCGATATATATATAGTTTCCACTGTATATAATTTAATATAATTTAAATAAACATTTCCATAAAATATATCTGCATACCATATATTCACTAAGATATAGTATTAGCAAAGGTATGCACATGTAAGATAAAACAAACAAGGGGAAAAAGTATGTACGTTACAACATCATTTATTTATTAAAAGAAGAACATGCCTATAGGGTGTTACCCAGTTAACCCAGTTTTCACATTGTGAAGCAGATTTTTCAATTTATGATTGAAAAATGCTTTTTTCTTCATTTTGTAAACCCCCATTATAATTTCAATTAATGCGTTTAAAGGTGGGCTGTCCTCTTCCTGGTAAAAGTCTCCCAGCAATATATTCACTTTCATTTTACATGCATTATACATTAAGTGCATTGTGTTTCCCTTTCCAATAAGTCTTCTATATGGAGCAATATAATGTGACAGCCTCAGATAATATAGTGGTTGTTTACATTTTGTTTTCCACAGTTTGTGCTGCACTCATTGAAGTTACCATCAGAGTGGGATTTCTGAGAGTGTGTAATAAAAAACATCATTAAGTTTCTCTATCCAAACTTATTGTCAATTTTTCCTCAGATATAATTATCCCTTCTTCTTTCTTCTGTCTTATTTTATAGGTTTGATGCTTACGTTTATATGAAATGATTCTTTACCAGCACCCGAATTATGATTACTTTTTAGATAGTTCCATCAGACATATACTTGCATCGGTTACATTTTAAACCCTATATAGACATAATGTCTCATCTACAGGTACCATTACATCTCCCAATATCTCCCTCTATTGCATATATTCTTTTATAATAGTTATCCATGCTTTAGGAGTCAATCCAGGTGGATTTCTGATATTTTTATAACTTTGTAGGTTGTTATTAGCAAAGATTGTCAGGATTGGCATGACCTCAGAAAAAACTTTGGTAAGGATCCGAGTCAGGAGGCAGAGCCAGGATTTTTTTTCTCTTTCTTTAACAGACATTTTATGACATTTTCACTGATTTCCCAATAATTCATGGATCTAGATTTTAAAAAGCATCTATGTTTAGGGGACTGATCTTTATGAGTCCAAATAAAAATCTGGATCTAGTGGATTTTAATGTGGTTTCAGAAGAGGACTGTTGGCTGAGGTATATAATCTCGAGTATAGTTTAAAATGTAAATCACTGAAAAACTCATTCGTCTCATATATGTAATCAATTACACACAGTAAATATAAATCTAAATTATGTTACTTGAAAGTAGATGCTGACATTGTCACAGTGCAGCAGTAATTCTGTCTGTCTGCGGGTTGATCTGGGTCGCTCGACTCACTGCTGAACACGGTAGGATCTCTGTCAGGTGACAGTAAAGATTATCTGCTCATGCTCAACCGGCATTGTCAGTCATTATTATTACCCAAGCGATGCAGGCATTAAGAGACACTGAGGGTGAGGGGTGGGATGATCAAATAGATTTATCTCAGGCTCGGTGCCTCACCAACAGCCAACGACGCTGAGTTATGGCACAAAAGCTTCTGTATGAACAAAGTAGGACCGTGGGAACGGTACAGCGTAGTAGTGGCCAAATTATTATTGTGGATATTAGAAACGAGAAGGAAAAGAGGAGAGGGTTGTGGTGTTTAGATGTGATAATTATGAGAGGGTGCTAGGGACACGAAGATGAGTGTTGCTGGCTCCCATCTGTGCCCCTTCAGTGCCAGCCCTCCACAGACGGACAGTGTCATCGAGCAGAAACCAGCAGCAGGTCTTAAAGGAACATAACAGCATTTTTTTACCTGTTTACTACGAATCATAGATTTCATGTATATGTTTAAGTTCATTATCCAAGCTCCCGGACCATTATGATTCCCAACACATTAGATTTACTTTACTTTATTTATCAGAAGAATATCACTCATGAGTATCATTTTTATATTATGCATATAATCATTAGATACAAGGTATGATTTTAGTTATGTGTAAATGAATGATACTAAAACATTTTACCCTTTGCTCCCTGTCAGTTGGATTTGGTTTTGAAAATGCAGAAATGTTCAGTGTACTTATGTGATTTTCAGTAACTTGACAAAAACATGTAAAAAAAAAAAAAAGAAAGAAGAAAAAGAGCCTGGCTTGGTCCTTTAACAGCAGCTCCCACTCTCCATCTGAAGCTTTTCAGACAAATTGTAAGCAAACAGATCTGAGTGGGATAATCTCTGTCAGATCCTCTTCTTACTGATAACTGGATCAGTGATTGAGACACAAATCAACACAAATTGATGCATAAAATCCTTATAAACACCCATAAGCCATTTTGTGACTTTGATGAAATCCAAAATCTAAAACCATTAGCCTTTTCTCAAATTGCATTCGTGCTGTCCAGCACAGATGTAATTTGAGCTACCGCATATGAGTCCTGACTGTTGGGTAACGGGATGTTCACCAGAGCAGACAGCCCTCTGTCCAGAGACACCTCAGACTATGTGAAGGTGCAACGTCTCTGCAAGTTTACATCAAACATCTTCTATTTTTACTCCCTTCTTATGTGCTGACACAACATTAAACACAATCAGGGACATTTCAATTGCATCCTCAATGCTCTCTCTATCTCTGGGCATCCCTTTTTCATTTAAGGGCCTATTGTTCATAATAATTGTAATGAATAATAAAATAATAACACAAACCAGATGCATCTAATTATCTGGGATATGACCGATGTATACACGTTCAGGTATTTCAATATGGTAATAAAGTGGGCAATCAGCTTTGGAGGCAGTATGCAACCTTTTTTGAATTGTTACATTTCTTCATGCACAGGGAATTTTGACTTGGTTAACTTAAAGATCATTAGATTTCTATCTCAAATCCAACAGAAACGTGCTACAGTACAAAAATACAGTACAATTGAATGAAAAATGCATTTTTCTTCCAACCTCTGGTGATGGTCTTATAAAGAAGAACTAGAATCCACTGGTGTGAAGTGACTCATTGAAGGGATTTGTATTTTTATTTTATTATTCTATTTATGGTTTATTCATTCATACCCCCTCTCTCTCCCTTCAGAGGCCGTCAGAGAAGTGTCGCTACGTGGTGGGCAGTGTCCTGTGTGAGGGTGAAGAGAAGCCGGATCAAGAGCTGCAGAAGCTGTACGAGACGTTTGGCTTCAAGGTGTTTTCTCTTCCAGAAGTGAGCCACGCTGTGACCACCAGCTTCCCCTGCACCACCCCTCTGTCCCACGTGCTGGGACCTTACAGGGTCTACCCGAGCCTTGCTTCTTACATTGAGGTACATACACTATGTGAATGCATCAGTCATTCTGAGGCTCTTTTTCAGGCATATAGTATCTGTGCAAATACTGAGTAAGGATTTGTCTCTTTATTAGAAGTATCCTTGAGAAGCACAAAAGGGTTTGAACAGTGAGCATATCTCAAGTGTTTTCTAGTGTTAACTTTTGAGCAAAAAGTTCCATAACAACTGTTCCATGCTCCTCTCCTAGATAAGTGTATGTCATCATATATAAAAGTAAGAGAGTTCTCTTTTCTTTCTTATGTCCTTCTACTGAAGTGGATAGTTATTCACCTCATGATCATATCTGTCCTCCTTTTCTGCTTCCCACTTGTCAAAAGACCCTCGCTCATGAATTGTTTAATTCATCACATGAACAGATGAGGTCTTTAAAGACCTAGATTAAGAATAGATGACATAGTAAGAAATGAAGGTACGTCTGAGTCCCACTGCCCATATGCTGGGCTGCATGTCCTCAGGACAGGCCTCAAAAAGCTATTGACATTTACTGATGACATTTACACACTGGGATTCATCTAGGGACATCCCACCGCATGAATAATGCTCGACGTGCATGTCTGTCCATCTGTTTATTTAAGCTTCTGTCTTTTCACAGGAGGTTAAAAGGACCCACTTCCTATTCAGAAAATGTACCATTATGTCTAGAAAATATGCTAGATGTTCTCACATTCACCTTTTGTGGGTGGAACTTTTCTCTTACATTCAGGACAGCAGGCGATGGGGAGTTCACACAAACCTGTCCGGTGGCAAGAGGGGTCACATTTGAGTGCTGACATTCATTGGTATTCCTCTGTAATTCTGTGTTTTTTGAGTTCCCTGCAAAAACCAATTGAGTGATCACCATGTAGTGTGAAAAGCGCTATTATGCCTTAGGTGTAATGCTTCACTGAGTTGAATCCTCCATCTGTTGCTGTGTAGTGTCCAGCAAAGACAAGTAAAGGGGACGAGGACCCAGCCAATGGCATTTTTAATTGGCTGTATCCAGCTATGTCAGCATATTAAAACCATGATTTGACCATTTGTGAAAAAAGGTCTCAGCTGGTTTTAATGTTGATTTTCACCCCCGCCCAGTCACAGTATTTGGCAGCTTCAGCTCTTGGCGCTGACCAGGTTTGGATATTTTTGGTACAAAAAAAAGGCAGAAGCCAGATAATACATTACACAATACTTGACTGAGCTCGTGATTGGGATTGTCTCCTCAAATCACCACCAACTGTTTCTTTTCACCTGCCCAGGTATCAACCCCTCCTGCACCTTTACACTTTGCTTCTGCACCAACTGTAGATTGTTTATAATGACATGACTGCCACCCAAAAGTAAAGCCAAATACCCTCAAATGCACTCTGATAGTTGACTGCAGTATAGGTCATAAATCCCACCTCCTCAATGTTAGCAGATGGGACATGGACTAAATTAAAAAGTCACAGAACATGTCAAATACATTTTTCTCAAAGATGGTTTCTGATGTTTTAGGTAGTTCTGATCACACTGATGATGATTTTTTCTAGCAAGCTTGGTTTTACTTGATGCTATAAAACAGGGTGAAACGTCATAATTGATAAATGACTGACTCTGACTCTGATTGGTTGATTAAGTGTGTTCGTGGGACCTTGCTACTGCCACTCGATACCCCCTTTTCTACTGTACAGACTCTGGCTCCAAATGATGTCTTCTGCCCAAGATAGTTGTGTCTGGATATTTTGGCTTCATTTCTGGATAGTGGGAGGAAGTGGATACACATCGTCCAACTTTATATACAATCTGTGGCACCAACTAGGAGATGATGCTTCCTATCTAATAAGCAGTAAGGGTGTGTGACTGTCTAGCTGGACTGAAACTGCACAAAAGTAATGCTGGTGTGTTGTTTACCATTGTAGAGTTAGGAGCTGCTTTATTAAGAAACACCTTGTGCATTTTTACCCTGCATCCAGTTTTTACAAGCATCCTCATCTTTTTTGCAGTTTTCTCTCTGCGGCACTCTTTATATCCCAACACCCCGCATCAGAGGGCAGGACAAACTCTCTAACATTTGCACTGACACAGACTAAACGGTCTAAAGGCGCAGGGAATAGCATCTCTCCATGTTAAAATTTAGTGGTATTCCCTTGTATAGGCTCTCATGATGTTACATAATTGTGGCCAGTGTCAGTATGCATCTTTTGTGAGCATACAGGGCTGTCTATCTGGCAAAAAAGCTGATGTCACCATAAAGAAAAGATCTCACTCGCTCACACTTGTCTCAAGGCAGACCTGGGAGCTGTGACAGGCCGTTAAGGCGGTGCTCTTGTGCAGCGGATTTGCTAAAAACACACCAACATCCTGTTTAAGTTGAGGAGTGGCGTGTGCACTATGCATACCAGCTACAGCGAGGCTTATGAATAATGGAGTGTGGCTTAGAGAGTCCTGGTGTAGAGGATGATATGTGAATGTGTGTGTATATACTGTAAGTATGATTAATTGAGTAGGTTTGTAGTCTTTGGGACATGGAAAGGAGGGAGACACTAGTGTGACGTAGCCTTGCGCTCTACTGTATCTGCTGTGGCTTTTATCTGAGCTATTTCACTGCTGCAGCTGAAACTAGCTGACGAGAACAATGAGATAGAAATAAAACGGTGAACTGAGGGCCATAAACCAGAGCAGCAGCTAGAAAATAACCAAAACTACCACCAGACACAAATATAGAAATATTGATTAGTGCTGGCTTGAAATTCTCCATCAAATTATGTAAACCAGTACTTCCTGTGAGACTACGGAGGCCGACCTGGTGAGTCTGGCTTATCGTCTAGTTTTAATGTCAAGCCAAGTGTTTTCTCAGGGACACTTCTCCTCCTCCTGGCTTCCTATAGTGCTTCATTTATCACAGAGCAGATTACATACATTACTGCTCTTTTCACTTGAACGCCTTTTTCTCCGGTCCAGCACCAGTGTCTCCACAGACAGCGTCCTTTGCCTCATTTCTTTCATGTACATCACATACATACATACACACACTACACTGTACTCTTAGTACCCTAACCCTAACTTAACCGTGATCTTCTAAAGGCACAACATGTAACTTTGGCCTCTAGGGGTCTCTCAATCAAAACAATATTAAAAGGCCTAGTTTGACGACGTTGTGAAGCAGTGTTGGATCACAGGAGATGTTGTCTTCACCACCAATGAAAATACCTCGACTCGAATATTGTGATGCATTACGAGTAATTAATACAAACAGTGGGAGGAAAAAACTGCTGATTGGCTAACTGGCTAGCAACATGTTTTTCCTTTAACATGTGTGGTTTGCAACAGAAGTTATAGCAGAGGGGAAATGCAATTACATGACCAAAATTAAACATCGTGTTAAAAGTGTTGATTTCTCTGGGTTTGAACATTTTTGGAAACATTTTCGATAATTTCAGTAAACAAGTCAACAAAACATATTCTATAGGTCTCCTCATTTTTAGAGATTTTAATGAAGAGTGACATATTATATCTTAAAGTTGTAACCCTCAAACGAATCTTTAAAGTTGTGAGCACCAGCGGTAGTGTCCCCATTAACCATAAAGACATGTGTACAACACTGTGTATGCTCACAAATGAAATCCTTAAATCCTTATGATTTGATTGTGCTGATAGTCATCTGAGGGTATCAATGGATTTGTGGTATCAGTGGAATATCTGAGATCTTGGTAATCTATGATCAGCAGCTGTGTATTCACATTTACCAAATAAAAAGCACAGAGTGAGCGGCTATGACCGCAGGTTGCTGGGGATTGTATTGCCTCCTGGTTAAAAAGGCAGGTGATGAAAGAGGACAAACATTTGTTGATAAAGAAGTAGCTGTGGCACTGTATTACTTGGCCAGGCTCTCTGTGAGGTTTGTGAAAGCACCTTTTCAGGACCTAAAGAATAAAAGCACGCAATCATCTGAGTTATAATTTGGTGGCCGCCTCAGACAATCCCAATAGTCCCTGTGAGCAGAAACAAGACGAAAAACCAATCCTGCCCATTTGTTAACAATTTATCAACAATCAATTGCATTCAGAAATATGCAGACCCTTTCACTTTTTTTGGTTTATTTTGCAGTTTAGAAATGATTTTCTATACTCAATACCTCATGGGGACGAAGCAGGATTTTAGATTTTATTTAGCAAATTTAGTCAAAAGGAAAAACTGACAAAATCTGCTTTGACAAATATAGTTCATGTGGCTCCTTTTCTAATGATCACGTTAGAGATGTTTCTTCATCTTCAGTGGTCTCAGTCTGTTGTAAAATCCTGTTTGAAACATAGACTGTATTTAAAGATGGTGGTCATGGCAGCCCCCCAAAAGTGAAGCCAAAGCATCACAATCGCCCCCTGGTGGCTGGCTTCTGTGTACGTCGCAAGCCCCAACTCATCCATGTTAGTTGATGGGAAATGAACCAGCCTAAGAAATGAAGAATCTTATGAAGTAAAGACATTTTTATAAAAATGCTATGAAAAATGAGGTGAAAGTTAATGTTTGACAGCTGAGACTGATTACTCGACTGCATTTATATATTGCTGACATGTATCAACCACTGCAGTGATGTTGAATTTTGGTGTTCATCTCAGTCCAAATGGTGGCATCCCAATGTGCCTATTTTCACGTGTTTTGAGTTACTGGCACTTTCACGCTCTACTACAGTGGAGTTTGGATTCCTCACCTCCATCCTGCTCATGGTTTATTCACCAACCACTCTTCCCCATCTTCTTTGATGTTATTATTTGTTGAATTAAATATAGAAAATTTGTTTTGCTTGTCCACAGCATTTATATTTCATGCAATAGCCTGATTTGGGGTTAGCCAGTGAAACTGCGCTTAGTGCCTGTGTATCCGTAAACAACAACCAAGATGCCCTTCGCTCTGCTGAGACGCCTCTGTGGGTGAATATAAATGTGACAGTCGCTGCTTTGGGACTAAGGAAATAGCTTTGTGAACTAAGGAGTTGTATTGTACATATTTACTGTAATTGTCAT